ATTTGATTCAGTGCATCATGCATCTCTATGCTCTCTCTCTCACACATACATTTACATTTATTATAATTTGGTCATCACTGACAACTTGCAGGAAACTCTGTGATAGTTAAAACTGAAACAAACTTCCAAGCCATGCTCCTCTTTGAGCTTTTCATGCACGCTGTTCATATGCACGTATTGTTAATGTACATCTTGGACATGGGATACATCTCCATAAAGATCTGCATGTTTGTGGTTCGAGGAGGCACATGTTTATACCGTCACGCTGTGTCTGCTGCTGCTTCCAGGTCTCTCCTTTTAAAGACATTTTGATATCAGCAGGACTTCCTGGTCAATGAATGAAACCCTTCTGTTGGATGAGTCACAGATGAAACGACATATGAAACTTTTTCGTTTACCCCGAGCCTAGCCAAACGTCTTTGAGATTCTCATTCACGTGACAAATTTGCGAGCGCCGCTCATTATTGTTTGAACGCTTGAATTCCCATCGTGTGCACACTCCTGAATTACCCATTGACATTTGGGTGTAGTCTCAGTTGGGTTTTGAATTCTCCTCATCATTTCCATTGAATTGATCTCATTCCATTACATCTCTCTCATTAGTTGCTCACATTTAACTGCGTATCCTGCACTCTACCACGTTACGAGGACACAGACGCTTCCTCTTCTGTATTCTGTGCTGCAGGCTGAGGCACAGTTTGAATATTTCAGCACCGTAAATAAAAGAGCGCGTCTCTTTCCGCTGTTATTTGCAATCGACCTTCCTCCAGTCGCTCGGCATCTAGCTCAGAAGAACTTTTCAGAGTGTGTGCACATGCGGGAGTCCGCACGCATGCATGAATGAGTGTGTGCGTTGTCGTGATTTTCCTTTGCGTGTGTCATTCCCGCTTTTGTGTGTTTCCCTTTTCTCTTCATATGAATTTATTCAGGGCTCCGCCGAGTTGAACTTACAAACATACAGAGAAATCAATATGAATGTAAATGTATTCCTTTATTGCCGTGGCTGGGAAACTTGGTTTGGTCTCATTTTCATGCACAAAAACATCTCTGAAATTTATGAAGTGAGGCAGACAACTGCACACTGTGCAATTTGTGTTCTTTAATGTTCTCTTTAGATTGCAATCATAAGAGTGCGCTGAGGTTAATTGGTCGTATGCGTGCTGTTTACTTTCACTTTCCCAGGACAACTTACTCAGCGAAAAAAAAAAAGGGAAAGTGCTGCAATAACGTGCTCTTAAATTCTTTCATTTACCTCAGCGTCTCTGATTCCCCATCCATCTCTTGTCTCCTCTCCCCTTTGATATAAAACTTTTCTTTTCTTGAAACTTTTTGTGGAAAAAGATGCATAAAAGAAATATTGCTTTGTTGTTGTGCACGGCCAAAAAACAGCAGAAAAGAAGAAAAGCAGCGTGTTTTCTGCAGTGATGAATAATCATTTATAGAGTCATCCTGCAGTGTTCGACTGTCTTTGCTGAATAACCAACCCTTTAAATCAAACCAAGGAGCGCCGATTTGGATCAAGTGCAGTTTTTTTTCTTAATTTGATGCTCCGTGTGAGCTCTGGAAGTCATCTCCGTCCCCTGCTGGGTGTTTTTAAAGTCCAGTTTGATACTTGAGTGTGTGCTGCTGCATGAACTGACGTGTTCCTAATTTCTCTGTTGCAGCAGGAGAGCAGCCATGGATATCATCTCCTCGCTGGTCTGCCCTCTCCTCTTCATCCTCCTGTCCTCCCTCCCCTCCTGCTCCTCCTCCATGCTGTGTCCGAAGCGGTGCACGTGCCAGAATCTGCTGCCGTCCTACACGGTGCTCTGTGCCAAGACGGGCCTCCTCTTCGTTCCGCCCAACATTGACCGCCAGACGGCTGAGCTCAGGCTGATGGACAACTTCATTACGACGCTGAGGCACCGTGACTTCGCCAACATGACCAGCCTGGTCAGAGCTCGCCTTTTTAACACCTTCACA